TTACTAGTTACTTAAAAAAAGTAATCTGATTACGTAACTCGCGTTACATTTCTTACAAAATGACAAACATTGAAAGCTGAGACTTTGTTTCATACCAAAAGTAACCTGCTCTGTCTTGTCTGTCGGTGTGTTGTCAGTGTCCTCTTTGCTCCGCGATGTATTTTCCACAGCATTAGAACATGATGTGTGGTTGAGAGCGGCATGGCTTGTTGGCAGGGTTGGGCAAAGATATATCAAAAAGTATTTTAAAATAAAATACCAAATACCTTAATTTTAAGTGTATCAAAATAAACTACAAAATACAGCAGCCACACCAAGTATAAAAAAAAACTACTGTATTTTTGTATTTTAAAAATACAAAAAAAATACATGAAATTTCTTCACAAACCTTCCATCAATTGGCCTATTTGATCTATCTCTTCACCAATACACTGATGTTTGTGAACAAGTGGACAATGTTTGATAGCAACAGCTTTTCTCTGCCCGAGTCATGCAATAAATCTGACATATGCAACCAGTTAACAGATCAAATATTCACATATCCCTGTGATTTCCCAGATGAAGGTTAGTTTTAAAGTAACCAACAGTTTAATGTTTAACAGTTTGCGAATGACTCATAATTGTATCCTAATTTAGTTACATGGTGTTTGGTAACGAAGGGCCTACTTTGCATCAGCAGCACTGACTCAATGACAAGCAAGTCATTCATAAGAAGACAACTGATGGCACCTGTATTCATAGCAACTAGTTTCTAACTACTTAATCATTTGATTGTTAGTCACAAATATAATAATATATTATGTGTCAGGCAGTCATTCATGCAATGGTATGTAAAATCATGATCCTATTTAAACAGCTATTTCAATTAGGGTATAATATTCAGAAATCAAATATTTATTTACCAATCACTGGACACCTATTTGGAAGTTGAAAACAAACATTTTAGCATTACAACAATGATTAAATGATCAATATGTTTTCATTTTAAATGTATGTTAAATGTTTTTTGCCGAAGGCTTTAAAATACAAAATAGTATTTTGTATTTCAAATACGTATTTTAAATACATGTATCTGAAATACTGCCCATCCCTGCTTGTCGGACATAGCAACAGTAATAAAGAGGGGAGTGGGTCTTTGCGAAGGCTCAGTTGTAGGAAACAAAATGTGAAAATGTCTTCTATCGCTTATCAACGACAAAGCAGCTCTTTAATACATGTGACGCTCATGAACTACTTTGTACTGCAAGCAAATACGATTTATATCCAAAACTTGAAAATATGGGCACACTTGATGTGACTGTGACCTATAGAGTTGATGAAAGCCCCTGGTTACCGCACCTTGAGAAGGTAGTTCAAATTAGAAAAATAAAGACAAAATAACGCTTATTTTGAGTATGTGTCCTGCTCGCACAGGTATTCAGTAATCTGAGCGTGTCGATAATGAAATGGCAAGACGGCCATAAAGGGTTGACCACTCACAATTCCACTTGTTTTCCTCAACCAGCCGAACTCATTCACATCTATTTTCCCTCCTAAACACACTATCTGTCCTCCCATCCCCCCTCACACCCATCCCAGAGTGTGTTTGTGTGTGTGCATTCTTTTTTGCCACACAATCAATGTGGCTTTTAAGATGTCTATCGATTTGTTCCCGAGACAGACCCCGGCTCGCTGGAGCGACACTTTGATTGCTGTGCGAGTAATTACTGTTATTATTTATGCATCTGGGTGAAATGCCAGGACTTAACATTCCCTGTACAAGAGGCCACAGACAATCAACAGAGAGCAAGCACCTGGAGAGGCGAGAGGCTCAAGAGAGGAAGAGAGCTGGAGAAATGAGCACAGGGACACAGGGAGATTCACAATACACAAAAAAACACAATCATAGATGAACACAGATGAAAGTGTATGCAGGTCTTTTATAACATAAACTAGGCCTGTCAATCGATTTCAGATTTGAATTGCAAAACATGTCAACTAATTAATCAATCGCATTAATTGCTCATTTAAATATTTGTCTAAGATAGACACATCGACCATCCACACAAAAATCGTTCCTTGCGTTTAATCTGTTATTACACAAAAAAATTATTTTATATTGAAAATGTAAAATTAAAAACATACATATATTATACATATTGCATTTTAAATTATACATTTAGTTATAATAAAAATGTATTACTATAGCTAATAAATGAATTACTAATTTAGTTTTAATAATAATAATAATAATATTTGACTTATTATTATAGCTAATAATTTACATATTTGTAATGTTATAATTATTAGTCTATGTGCATGGCAGACTGATGTCTTTGGGTTTTGTGACACATTTTTCCAGTGTCTGACGCCATGTTTTTAGAGATGTTTTTTTCAAGACAGGGTTAATTAAAAATAATAATAATTATAACAATACTTTACAATAAGGTCCCATTAATTCATGTCAGTTAATGCATTAACTAACATTGAGCAATGCATTTGTAACAGTATTTATTCATTTTTGTTAATGTTAATAAAAATATTCACGTTTAGTTCGTTACGGTTTATTTTAAAAGATATAACTTATTACATAAACATATTTTATATATATATATAACTTATTACATAAACATATTAATGTTTAAATTAACATTGACTGAGATTACTAAATTATTAAGTAGCATTTTTATTTTTAGTTCATGTTACCCAATGTGTTTATCTAATGTTAACAAATTAAAACCTTGTTGTAAGGTGTTCCCAAAATAACTAGTTGCACAAAATTAACAGATTCAATTACCAGCCCAAGCATAAAGTATGCTACAGTTTCTAAGTGTTTTGGTCTCACCTGTGAAAGGCCAAGGTAGATGGACACAGTCTCTGAGATATACAGAAATCGGCCTTCCTGACTGACCACGAACACAAATCCATCCAGAGACTGCAAAGAGAAAACATTTTTCTAATTAGTCTGTTCTAACTGAAAGCCAAAGTTTTGCACAACACAACACAATCAGTCAAAATATATCGGATGTCTAATATTAATATGAAATCAAAATGGTCATTATTGAATTTTTGTTAAAGTAAAGCAAAAAGTAATTAAAATACGTCATTTTTCGTTTTCTGTCACCAAACCCTTTTTATTATTCAATTTTATTTTAGCTATTATTTCATATAGAGTCCACTTTTCATGATGTAATACTTAAATGATAAAATAAAATTTTCTTCGTCATTGATTATCCTCTTTCATTTAGTCACATTATGGAAGTAAATCTGCTTGTGAATGCTGTTTTATCCAGTACAGCATCCCAGAAACACGAGATATAAAGTAAGGACATTTCAGACTTAACTGAATCAATCCTGAGCAGCAACACAACACTTCTGAGCAAATCTCAAGATTTATATGGAATCAAGCTGTAGACACAAGCATCGACATCAAAGCAAAAACAACATGAGCGAAGAATCAGATTGATTTAGAGAGACCAACAGCGGCTGGCAGATGATAAGCATACAGTCACTGCATTAAAGAACTCATTTAAGGAATAATATTAATAACACACAGGCACGAGTGAAGCAGAGTGGGCACTTTAGTTGAGACTGATGGTGGTAATTTATGCAAGTGACGAGTTCACTATGCAAATGAGAGTGGACTGGAATGACGGGAATGCTGGAAATAAAGCGCAATTATCTAGTTATTACTGACAGAGGACGAGACAAAGAATCATAAGGATTTTCAGAAGTGTTAATTTGATTTCTATCAGCGCCGTCCGTCTCTGAACACTTTCTCAAGGTAACCTTCTAATACCTTCTTTTTTTTTTGTCTCGTACAAATTCCTCTTTTCAAGTCAGATGACTAAATTCTAGTGCTTATGGCACATAGATCAACTTAAACAGTGAAGCAGATTATTTACAAAAGTGGATCCAAAAAGTTTGGACACAGCCTGTATGAAAAATGTATGAATGTTATTGCATTAGGGGCCATTCACACAGAATGTGTGTTTCCATTCCACTGCGCTACTTTTCCACTGTTTTTCTATATAAACACAGATTAGACAGACATCTTTGAATATTGCGCTTGCTTCTCATGTCTTTTGTTGCATCTCACATTACAAACATTGTAAAAATTCAGCGCTTAAGTTAAACTTTTATAAAACATCAGAGAGGGTTTGCGTTTTTCCCCATTCCACTGTATTAGGCTATATGTATTTATATATTAGTAATACTGTGAATATTGTTACAATTTAAAATAACTGTTTTCTTTCTCTCTCATACAATTTATAATTTATTTCTGATGCACCGCTGAAATTTCTGCATCATTACTGCAGTCTTTAGTGTCACATGATCCTTCATAAATCATTCTAATACGCTGATTTGCTCCTCAAGAATTATATTCAACCGTTGTGCTGTTTAATATTTTTTTGCAGGGCTATTTGATGAATAGAAAGTTTAAAGACCAGCATTTATTTGAAATAGAAATCTTTAGTAACATTATAAATATCTTTACTGCCACTTCTGATCAATTTAATACATCCTTGCTGAATATAAGTATTAATTACAAAATTAATTAAAAAAAATGATCTTGTTAACCCAAAGCTTTTAAATGGTGTGTAAAAAGACCTAAAATATAAAATCATCTAATAAATAAAAGATGAAGAAAATAGCAATTTAAGAGTTCAACAGTCACATAAAACAGATGCACATTACATGAATATTGTTCATAACACTAACGTCTGTAAATTTACATAAACGAAACATATTTTTACCTGTAGTAGATGAGCTCCCAGGTGCTGTTCAAAGATGTCAGTGACCAACGAATGACTTGTTCTTCGCACTGCAAAAAAAAGTAAAAAAAAGTTAGTTCAAGCAGTTATTTTAAAGCTAAACATGTTTGTCATTTCAACAGAAGCATAAATGTAAAATGAGCTATACAATTATATTTTATATCTAATTCAGCAAAACCCACAGCAACCTAAACAAGATCAATTAATCACTAAATGTAACTTTTAAAAAAGAAAGAAGTATCACTGTGACGATATAAACATTCAAGCATGAAGAACAATTCCAACCTCTTTAACATAAATTATAAAATTATAATATTCTCAAACACATCTTGACAGTCACACTATTTGGTTACTACAGGAGGAAACGGCTGATAATAGCTTTTAAGCAGCTGTTAATACACCTTCCCAGTTCTTTACTGCTGTTTCAGAGACTATCAAAGACAGCGAGTGACTGAACAGCTGCTGTGTATAGGGCTGATAACTCCGACAGAGACATGCTAATTCACTCTCAGCACACAATAGCGTTCTGGGCCGCCCGCCATCACAAAACAAACAAATTTACAAATCACACAAATGACATTGGTGGTGCATTTCAAACGTGCCAGCCTCTGATCTCCGCTGTAGAAGCCCAGCTGAAATTCACTCACAGCAGGATGTCCTTGTGTGTGTGTGTGTGTGTGTGTGTGTGTGTGTGTGTGTGTGTGTGTGTGTGTGTGTGTGTGTGTCTGTGTCTGTGTTTGTGTCTGTGTCTGTGTCTGTGTCCGTGTCTGTGTCTGTGTCTGTGTGTGTGTGTGTGTGTGTCTGGGATGCATGTGGCAATCAATACTGTAAGTGTTTTGAGAGAGGATGACAGCGTTTGTCTGAGCTGCTACTAAACGGGAGACAGACGGTGAGCTCACTTCTCCGAACCTTTTCCTGTGGTACTCCTGCCACAATACAAGTGTTCACCTGACAAAATGTCTGGTCAGAGGAGAACTGGCCCCCCGACTGAGCCTGGTTTCTCCCAAGGTTTTTTCTCCATTCTGTCACAGATGGAGTTTTGGTTCCTTGCCGCTGTCGCCTCTGGCTTGCTTAGTTGGGGACACTTCATTTCCAGCGATATCGTTGACATGATTGCAAAGATATTATTTAAACTGAACTGAGCTGGATGTTGACATCACTGAATTCAATGATGAACTGTCTTTAACTGAAAAATGAGTGTTTACTATTGTCATTTTGCATTATTGACACTATTTTCCTAATTAATGCTGTTCAGTTGCTTTGTCACAATCTGTATTGTTAAAAGCGCTATATAAATAAAGGTGACTTGACTTGACTTGACAAAATACACAGCTTCAGGAAGAAGCGTTCAGCAAGACAGTACAGATACAGAAATCAAAGGTATAGTTCACCTAAAAATGAAAATTCACCTTCATGTCAACCATTATGTTACACTTTAGCAGTATTTATTAGGGAAATAGCATACTTAAAAAAAAAAACCTACTCAAGTGTAACCAGACATGACAAGCATGTTAATTACAATGAAATGAAGTCGCATTATAGCTTAAATTTATATCAAATGCAATTAGCTACTCCACAGCCCTTTTTTGGCCCACTTTAGTAGGATTTAAGTATATCTTAATATGTAATTATCATAACTCTATTGAATCAGAAATATGATTGAAGTGTACTGCATTTATGGTAAACTAAAATATACTTGTGTGTCATGAAGATGTAATAATTTGGCAAATATTAATTATTAGAAAGTTGTAATAAAGTTGTAAATGTATTAAAAATGTATTAATTAAAAATGTAACACTAAAGTTACATAAGTTACATAAATTCCAACCAAGGACTTTACATGTGTTTTAATATGTATTTTAAATGTACTTTACAGAAAAACGTTTAATTTGACATTATTTCAAAGTGCGCTTTTTAAAAGGGTATTTAAGTGCTAAGAAACATAATCATGAAAGTGAACTCTCTTTTAGTACACTTAAGTGGCCTTTAATTTTATTAGTATTATATTAACTGCAAGTGCAGTTTTTAAATATTTAAAAGATTTGAAATGCACTACAAGTGCATGTTCATTACAATTACTGTATGCGATTGCGCACAAATTTAAAAGCTATTATATGATGTCAAGAAAGATTTAAATTTCATCCATACCAAGCGATCATATGGCTCTAGAAAATAATTAATATAGCGCAAGAGTCATATAGACCACTTTTATTGTGTTCTTTTCAGTTTTGGAACTTAACTGTTCCCATTCATTTTCATTGTAAGGAAAAGAGCAGCCAGGACAATTCACAAAATATCTCCTTTTTAGTTCTACTGAAGAAAAAGTAAACAATATTTTTGGTGATATATTTCTTTGACATAAGAACACTGAAAATAACACGCAAGTCCACACATAAATGTGTCCCTGCACCCAAACTACACACCCCAAAAATCAGTGGCACTTTAAGAATGGGGTCCCCTCACAGGAATATCAATGAGTCGGTCCCATTCAGAGGCCTGAAAAGGGGGTTTGGCGCAGAGAGCGGGATCACCACTCAGTGCATGTGGGTACACAGAGCACTGCTTGTTCGTCTTTGGGGGTCACATGCATGTTGACGATTGAATAGTTTAGCAACCCCCCTCATACAAACACTGAGGGTCTTCCCACAGAGTCTGTGAGCGATAGGACAGGCCTGACAGGAGCCATACTGCCTGATGGATGGACAATGGTCGGCCCTCATTTCCCAAAGTCAGCCGCTACAGCAGAGGCTAATGTGAAGTCGAACCGGGCCCAATAGGGCAGAGGGTGAGAATGATGGTGTTGTTTCTCAGCCTGGGGGTAAACAGGATCTATCTGATATAGCTAATCGGTTAGTAGTGGATACTTAATGATCTGTCTTCTTCATGTGGATATTTTAATAATCACTTGTTTTGAAATCTACTAATATTTAATTATCTATCTATCTATCTATCTATCTATCTATCTATCTATCTATCTATCTATCTATCTATCTATCTATCTATCTATCTATCTATCATATATAAATATAAATATATTTATATTTTATTTATATTAATTTTAGTCAATTAAAATAAAATATAAAAAATAAAATTTTAAATAAAATTCACATTACATCAATTCAATCTTGTTATTAATCTTAGAAGACCACAACATTGGTTAAGAAAAAAGTAGTTTTACATTTTTTTAAGCAAAAAGAAAGAAAAATCAGAGAAAGAAAAATCTTTAAAAACAATATTATTTTACTTAATAAAAAACTTAGAGTGCTTAAGCACTTTAGTACTTTAAATATATTTTAGATATATTAAATATGACAGAGTTTATTATTATTATTAATATTATTATTATATAATATTATTAATATTAATACTGGAAAACAGTAATATATATATATATATATACAGTGGGTACGGAAAGTATTCAGACCCCCTTAAATTTTTCACTCTTTGTTATATTGCAGCCATTTGCTAAAATAATTTAAGTTAATTTTTTTCCCTCATTAATGTACACACATCACCCCATATTGACAGAAAAACACAGAATTGTTGACATTTTTGCAGATTTATTAAAAAAGAAAAACTGAAATATCACATGGTCCTAAGTATTCAGACCCTTTGCTGTGACACTCATATATTTAACTCAGGTGCTGTCCATTTTTTTTTTTCTCATTTTGTCTCTCATAGTTGAGGTATACCTATGATGAAAATTACAGGCCTCTCTCATCTTTTTAAGTGGGAGAACTTGCACAATTGGTGGCTGACTAAATACTTTTTTTCCCCACTGTATATATTTATTTTAGTTTTGAATTTTATATACATTTATAAATATATAAATAAATAAATAAATGTGACCCTGGAGCACAAAACCAGTCATAAGTAGCACGGGTATATTTCTAGCAATAGCCAAAAATACATTGTATGGGTCAGAATTATTGATTTTTCTTTTATGCCAAAAATCATTAGAATATTAAGTAAAGATCATGTTTGATGACTATATTTAGTAAATTTCCTACTGTAAATATATCAAAACATAAATTTGGTTAGTAATATACATTTGCTAAGAACTTCATTTGGACAAATTTTAAGGCGATTTTCTCTGTATTTTGATTTTTTTGCACCCTCAGATTCCAGATTTTCAAATAGTTGTATCTCGGCCAAATATTGCAATGGAAAGCTTATTTATTCAGCTTTCAGATAATGTAGGCCTATAAATCTCCATTTCAAAAAATTGACCCTTATGACTGGTTTTGTGGTCCGGGGTCACAAATATGCACCATTCAGTGCACCATTTATCTGATTTAGTTCTATTTTTATTTCCCTTAGGGAATTTTCTTTAAGGAATTAGCTGTCATAATTCCACTTTGACTTTTGGGTCAGCTTTGAGTATCTCTGGGGCGCTGAATCACAATAAAGAATGAAATAACTAAAGTAATTTGACTTTCCTCTCCTCTACACCCAGCTCACTTTGACTCTCTTTCATTTCTTTCTTCGTTCTCTTTTCCTCCCCCCCCCCCCCCTCTTTCAAGCTGACAACCTTTTAACCAAGTTCGAAGGTTACTATGGGAACTGCAAGGTTGGCCTTTCATTTCGTGTTAGTTTGCTCAATCCAGTTGGCTGATGGGAATCGTAGGCCGATCTCCTAGCAACTGGTTTACAGGGCGGTGGATGTCGAGCGGCCCGCACTCCCCCCACCTCTAACCTCATGCATGGAGACAGGAGGAATGACTCTCAGACAGACCAAAGCGTCTCCAGTCGCAATGTCCCTCTCCGCTGCAATTATCCTTTCACTCTGCCATCCCTCTCTCTCTCTATCAGCTGTTACCTCTCTCCTAGCACGGTCGAACATAATTTGAGTGCAATTAACGTCCCTTAAAAGCCCTCAGTGCTTTAAATGCTTGAAAATAGGAGAGCGAGAGACAGACACAGAGAGCTGGCAGGAGGGAGAGCACGAGAAACAAGTGAAAGGAGAACGAGAAAGACAGTGTGAAAGTCAAAAACACAACAGTGTGGGACCTGGACAAAAGAAAATGAGAGAAAATCTTAACTTATTCAA